GTTTTTAATCAGAACATGGACTCTTGAAGAGAGGGGAGGTTCCTGCCTTTAAAACCATATTCCCCCAAAAGCTAACTTCTGATACCCCACTGTATATTTCTTCATTGTTCCCTTTTTTTCCCTCCCAACATTATTTCCACGAGTAGTGAATGATTGATGACCTATAACACATTTCCTAGGGAACAGAGAACCCAACCAGCTTCATGGCTCTTCTGGACAGGAGGGGAAGTTGCTTCCCACTATATCTTGAGTTTAGATACAAAGGGACATCACACTCAGGATTGCAATTCTTGAATTGAGACAGGAAAAAGAGAATGAGAGGAAAGCACAGCTTTAGGTTTGGACAACAAATAAGTGCAACCTGCATGAACTGTCTTACAGCAAGCGGGTTCAAAAGGAGATACTGATGCCTGATGGCTGTGGAAAAGGTGGGTTCAGTTCTTTGCTGCCCAAGAAGAGGAGAGGTGCTGCTCAGCACAGAGCACTGCCAGGCAACAGGATCCTCCTGAGGTGCTTGCTCACCAAGCCCACCCTGCTGTGCAGTGCATGCCTGTGGTAACTGTGAGTGCATCATGACTGAAATAAAAGTGCAGGGAGAACAACTGAGCATGGCAGGGCTGGGCTGAACTTCACCCCTGGGGAAGGGCAGCCCTGGTTTAGTCCTGCAACAATGCATGGTAGTGGTCTTTATAATCTTTACTGGAACAGGACAACCTTTTACCTCGTCCCTTCTTGGGATGCCTTGACCATGTAAGTTCCAAAAAAATGCTTACATTGCCATGACACGGAACGTGTCATTTAACCTGGCTGGTCCTTACTCATTGCTCCAAGAGAAAAAACAAAAACAACAAAAAAAGCCCCTCCTACTTACATCGCTCCTGACAGACATTTCTCCAACCAAATCTTTGGTAAGAGAACTCTACAACATCTTCAGATAGTGCAGTGGTTCAGCATCCCAGCCATAAGAAAGCTTTTCCCAACAAATGACTCGTAACTTCCTTGCTCCAATTTTATCCCGTTATTTGGGTGCTATGCATCATAAGTATAGAGAGCAAACTACTTATAATGTTTTTATTTCCTTATAATGCTTTTACTTCCTCCTTCACTTGTCTTCTCACTCCCCTTGTCCCTGGAAGGAACAGTACCAGATCTTTAAGCTTATCCTCACAGGTTATAGTTTGTAGGTCTCTGATCATACTTATTTTTTCCAGTGGACTGATAGGTGAACATTTTTTTCCACATCATTCTTGAAGACAGAAGCCACAATATCTGAGTTCACAGAAATTTCCTCTTGAATCAATGAAAATATATTAATTCCCTCAGAAATGTAACAACTAAATGGGTTCAACAGAAAGGTCACAGTCCTCCCTCATCACGTGGACATACTGTGTAGCCTAATAGTGAGGATCTTCTCCTTTGGGATAAATGAAGCCAGTCTGACTGTCCTTGGGTAAGCCTGGTGTCTGACCTTTGGCATCCTGCATCCATGCACTGACAGACAGGGATCAGAGAAGGGTAGAGAGGGCAATTCCTCTCCCTCCTGTTTTTGTCTCAGTGCTGGCTTTGGCTGGGGTAGTTAATTTTCTTCACAGTGGCTGTTTTGGATCTCTGCTGAATACTGGGTTGATAATACAGAGATGTTTTTGCTATCACTGAGCAATGCTCATACAAACCTTTTCTGCCTTTCCTACTGCCACAATGGCAAGGGGGCTGGGAGTATGTGGGATATTGCAGGTGAGAATAAAGAGTAGAAACTAAGTAGAAAGCAAAATAAAGAAGGTGAAGAAAAATCAAAACAACCTTCTGTATTGACACTTGTTTTCAAACTAAAGACATAATTATCCTGTAGCAAGTCTTGGCTACAGAGAAAAACATTTTGTGGGGAACTAATTAAAGAATTAGCCAGTGTTTAGCTTCTCAAGATAAAGGAGCATAAGCTTTGAAACAGAAGTGTTTGCAGTATGCTTTTGAAAACTCTCTGAAGACAGCCGAGCTTAAGTCTGTTAAGACTCTTCCTTTGACAATTAAATGTCTGTTCAGATGTCTTTTTTTTCCTTCCTTGATTTTTTTTTCTTCTTATAAAAGAAGCAGCTGGTACTTCTTGACAGTAGGCATTTTCTCCCTTGCTTAGATCATGGGGTGGTGTGTTACCACGTATCACAGTCATGAACACAGGTCATCCACTGAACCACTGTGTAGGTGGGACAGGTGTCAAAGGTGTCAAACATGAAATACAATGTTTAGTAAAATAAAGGAACCTGCTGGCACTGCATGCCACATCAACACCCCAAGACTACATCCTAACCAGAGCTTTCCCAGGCACAAGGTGGATCAGCACCGTGTCCCTGACAGACAACCTCTGAAGGTTGTGCTGCAGAAGAATGCAAAGCCCCTTGTAGGAAGTTAATCAACTCTTTGGTTCAGCAAGAGGGTACAATGACAGTAACCATTGTCTCCCATCCACTTTAACAACTCAACATCCTCTGCCAGGGAAGGGATAACTCATCCTGAAGAGGATGCTCTGCTTCCTCTACCCAGGGAGCTGTGAACCCATGTACCCACAAGTGATTTTTCAGAGCTCTACTAGTTTGGACTACAGGGTCTCTCTTCCCATGCTTCTCACCAGCCCCACACACAGAGGGGTTTTAAGAGCCAGTTCCACTCTTGACTCCCCTCCTGTCAAATCAGGTCCAGGGTGTTGCTAAGATCAGGGATCACAAACTTCCTCCTCTGTGGCAGGACTGTGGGTGCCCAGCATGCTGGCACTGACTCTGCTCACTGCCATGCAAGAACTGCTGGTGACTGCCATTGACCCAGTGTGGTTTATTAGCATCTCCAGCTTTGTTTAAAATAAGCACACATGCAGATGAAATTATCCCTGCTTTCTGCAAAACAGATAAAAAACTCTATCTATGCCTTGTGGAAGATTATGGGAGTTTTAACCAACTCTCTGAAGTAGAAGTACTCCATGGAGACAACATTATGTGGGAAAGGGGAATCAAGTTTTACTAACCTCTCTTCCTCTGTCATGCTCCTTTGCAATTTTCAGTGCAACCTCCAACATCAGATGCATTCTCAAGAGTCATGAGAATTGTCAGTGCAAATATATTTAGCCATATCCCTTTGGGTAGGTGGGGGAGGAAAGAAACCCCTAAATAGCTGTAAGATAACAATTACTGCAAACATATTTGCTTAGAGAAAGTTTAGTCAAGAGTTCAAAGTCCTTGGCAGCTGGATGGCCAACAGCCAGCTTCTTCTCAAGCTGTCCCTAGAAACCTTTACTCTTTGAGGAGCATGCTCAGAAGAGAAACCCCTCTGCTTTCCATAGGTCTTCTCCCTATGCTCTAAGAACTCCTCAGTGTAAAAGAAACGCTTAAATCAATGGCAAATTATTTAGACATCTCTTCCCTCTCTAACAATAAAACCCCACAATTCAAATCCAAGCCCTCCATGATAGAAAGTATGTTTTAAATAGGAAAAGGAAAATTATCACTCTTCACAAGATTGTAAAGGAATCAGAAAGCTCACAGCTCTACCAAACGAGTGAAAATGCTCTGGCTTTCATTCAACTGCACTGTTAGTGGGAGTGAGGAGAAGTCTCCCACACAGCCACAGGAGAAAACTGTGGGATTCAGACTGGAAAAGTAGCAGGGGGAGGATGTGAACACTGTTAAAAATAAAACTTATCAGACAACAATTGAATCGTGAGAATGTTATCTGGTTCAACAGGAGCGTGAAAACAAATGGGCATTTCAAGAAGAGGATCACTAACAAGGTAAATAACTTCAAAATAGCAGGAAGTGACCAAGAGAATGTGCTGAGCCCAGGGCAACAAAAAAGGCTCTCCATCAGCAGAAGACACTTGTGGATACAGATTTCAGTGTCACCTTACATGCAGCTGCATGGCACTGCACCCACCCTTGCATCCCGGCCACAGTAAGACACAAGACTGAAGAGATTTGCACAGGACAGTGTTTAACATGACCCAGTGTTTATTGACTCCTGTGACATTTTTATCAATAGTAACAGGAACACAAAATGTGATGTGTGGTAAAATACTACTAGGGGTTTCTACATGAATCCAATGCAAAGTGCCAGCATTGTTGACCAGCATACAACCTGACAAGAGAAGATGCAGTCATAACTCACTCTCAGATATCTGCTGGGAGCTCATCACAGTCAAAGTAGAACTAGTCATTTGCCTGCAAATAGACACATTTTCTTCTAGATGCAAGTGGTGTTAGAGCCAGCTATTTTGCAACAAGAAATACATATAATATATTCCAGCATTTTAAAAAACACACAGGACTAAAACTGTTTAAAAATAGAAGGGAAAAAAAGAGTGGAGCTTTTTAGACACTATTTTGTAGAAGTCATTCTTCATAGAACCAGAAGTAATCTAGAGAAAAAGATTTATTAGAGGCTACTTTGCTCAAAAGGCCAGTGCTCACAGGTTTAAGAACAAAAACAGTCTCTTGATTTTCAGCACTGTCTCCTGGCCTTTTTCCTCCCTGCCCAACAAAAACCTTTTGTTGAAAATTGCAGCTTAGTGGCTCTGCACATTTTTCCCATGCAATTGAAAAGGCAACCATGTTTTTTAGAGCCATCAAAAACTTGCATGACATTACATGCACGTGCAGCATGAAACATCTTCACAGATATGAACAACGAAGGCACATTACCTAAAGATTAAAAAAAATACCAACCAGAATTTTTGGAGGATTCAAAGTTAAATACCTTAGAGAAAGCATTCCTTTTCACAACTGGCTGACAAGTGCTCTTTAGCCATTTGATTCAAACAGTTTGCTATGAAGACAAAACACAAGGAAAAGGCCTCTCTGAAATACCCTCCCCATGTGCATGTCATACATGACCAATGCCCCCCACACCCCACCCCCAATTAAACCACAGCTTCTTCAAGGAGATCATCCCACTGAAAACAGAGTAGAGATCTGAAATGGAGGACTGAGGAATTGGTTTCAAGCTCTCAAGCCCTCAAATTTTTTTGCAGTTGATTACAAGTTTTAATAAAGACAACACACCCTGCCACAGAATAATTGCTCTGTCTTCTATATATGTAATATAGATGAGGAAGATATTCACAAAAAAGAAAATATGTATTTATTTACAATAAATGCAACTATACTGCTCCATGTTCACCACACGTGTTGCTGACCACTGCAGAAACCTGGTGGTAGCAACAGTGATGACTGAAGCACCTTCCCTTTTCAGCCCTTACACAAAGCTTTTCCCCTTCCAACATCTTGTTTTTCCATTGTTCCAGGCTACAGTGAGATGTGTACTAACAATGCTTTCTAGTTCATTTTTAAGGTTATGGTTTCTAGAGGCAAAGCAGTATTTCCTCTGCTCTGATTCTCCTCCTTTTAAAATCATGTAAGAGTATCAAATTTATGTGCCATTATTAACTTTGAATAGGTGTATTCCATCACCTTCTCTAAATAGTAATGCTGTCTTTTCCAACACATTTCAAAGGATTACCTCTCTCAAGGAAGAGCCAAACTCTTTCACCTCCCACATGAACATTTCAGAATGAGAATTTCAAGTTATCACTAAGTTTCCTTCAAGTCTCTGGTGTTACTTAGAAGCAACTGTAGTAGAATAATGTTTTTCTTAACATTAAAGGACATTTATCACATTCTTTGTCTTTTTCTAATTGTAAATATATTAGTCACACATGTTCCCTCACACTCCTCTCTTAGGGTGCACAGTGCTATACGACCATAGCTGGATCTCTGGGAGAAGCCAGAGAGAATAAAGGGTTTCTTAGCACTGCTGTATTTACATTCAGCATTCATGGGCAGGCTGAAGGATGCTCAGCTTTTCTTTAAGACACAAAACTGCTTTAAAAAATACTCCATTTTCTATTATCATTTTTTATGCCATGAAAGGTACTTCTTTTCTGTCCTATGCAGCTGTTACCTTTCTGTCACTCACATTTAATAGCTGCCATTGCACACTACTTTTGCATTCCCTAGCTCAAGAGCAGCCCATCACAGCACAATGATGCAGCAGAGCATGGGGAAGCAGTGCAGGGGCCAGAGGTTCAGACACACCACCTTCACCAGCAGGGGCAGGTGGCACAGGAAAATATGGGACACTGAAGGGGGCATCTATTTGGAACATTTAATAGGGTCTGACATACACACTGACAGCATGAGATAAAAATGAATGCAAGTGAGTGTATTAGGCTGAGAACAATTAGTGTGAGTGATAAATACATCCACTGCCAGATCCCAGCTTCATTAAGAGCTATTCTGAACTGCATAGTAAGTGCTGGTTGTAGAAGTTTAGACAGACTGGGAATAGGTCACCAGTTACTCATTGAGTCTATTAAGTTTAAAAAAATAATGGAGGGATAAAATGTGTGCTTTGCCATTGAATAACTCTGATCTCACAGCCTGGGCACAGCAGCAGTAGTTACCTGCCATCACAGATCAACTGAAACAGAATTGCAGTTTCATCCAAATCACATACACATGCAAAATTAAACAAGTGTGTTCATGAACAATATGCAGCATAAAAATCAGGTCTAAGTTACCATTATTTATCATATATTTGTCAGACTGCCAGATATATCTTTCCCTTTCAGATTCATATCTATGTCACACAGAACATAGCAGATGGAGAGGTTGCAAAGCAAACACTTCTCCACATATCACTGGCCTTAAGGGCCAATGCATTGTGTGCCATAAGCCTTTCAAGTTTACCAGATCTTTGGGAGAAAACAGCTGCTTTACCAAACGCTGAAAATAGAAAACATACAACCCATCCTCCTAAAAACAGAAAAAAAAATTGGTTTTATGAAGTTGTGAACAGATGCATAACTACTTTCCCCTCGATCCTGGGACAGAAAGGGCAGTACAGGTACAGAGCTAGGATGTGCCTCCTGAAGAGCAAACAATATCCAGAAAATGCAACGACTGTGTAGACAAACATCTGGGAAGTCATGTTTCTGAAGAGCTGAACCAATGTTCTGCACAGCAAAATGATGAACAATACATCAGCAGGTCCACTTGGGACAGACCATAAAATGCTCTACAAACATCCAATTTAATTTCCCATGTCAAATATCTCTCTGTGCCTGTCAGCAGTCTGCCAACTGATTTTAAACTTGCAAGGCTTCTTCCCATTTAACTAGAACTTTTTTCCCCCATAAAGTGCAAATAAGACTCAGTTTTTTACCACTAGTTCCAATGACCATTATCTTAGTTACAATAGTGATCAAAAGCCAATTGGCTGAGCCACTACCACTAGGCTTGAGTATCACACGTTCTTTTTTTTTTTTTTAAACCCTGGTTATTTCTTCCAGCAAAAGGCAAAGAGCAAACAAGTCTTTCTTCTACCAGATGCAGCATGACAGGAGGCTGCCTTAAGTACCATCAGCATAAGATGCACGTGCTAGACACAACCGGTGCATACTTATGCATAAAAATGTTTTGCCCTTATTTGCTGGAAATGGAAGTCATCTTTGGGATCTTATTTCCTCACAAAGAGTTCATGAGCAGTTGATTAGTCTTCATTAAGAGGTGCTTCTCTCTTCCTCGCATCTACATTAAAAAAAAAAAACAAAAAAAACCAAAAAAAATCAAGAAGTGTTTAAACTAAGGGGTTCTGACTGTATTCATCTGAAAACTCAGAAACAGAAAAAAATTGGTTTGTTTTCAATGGACAATACTTTCCATTTCAGAATCATGCCGTGAATCCACTATGTGGACTGAACTGCTACATGATACCATGATACCACAGCATGTTAACAAGGACAGTCACACAAAGATCTTGTACATTTTTCATGTTCAAATTGAAGATGACACATGCAATATTTAAGTAACCCAATAAACTCTGAGACCCCAGATCAGTGATACTTTTCCCCCAACCACCTCTTGGTCCCTTTTTCCTCTCTACAGGTGAAACCAGTATTTGCTTTGCATGCAAGCTACAGAGATGACAACAGTCTGTTCTGAAAATCATTTGACTAATTACGACTTTGCCCAGCTGCACATATTTTTAAAAAGACAAGTGCTCTCCACACTGTTTTTTGAGGAGGCAGCCCCTGAAGACCAGATCTTAAACTGCTCTGAACAGCAACCCTTAGATCATGGTCCCAGGTAGGGTGTTGGAACGTATCTGGACAAGTCCATGACTCATATGCCATTGCTACAGCAGCAGTGCAGGGTGGCTGCCATCAGAAAGCTGGGTCACCCCTTTGTGGGCTTCTGCCCTTCACTAATACAGGAGACCCTATTCATTCAGGACATTTAGAGAACATAATTATTAAACTGTCTGTGAAACTCCAAACACAGTACTAAACAGGGTTTGGAGGAGGCAAAAATATACCTCCCAAATAACAAAGAAGAGCTGACTCCCTGTGATTGGAGTAGCCACCCAGGGTAGGAAAAAAATGGCAGTCATTTGGTACGCAGATCAGAAACTGTCTCTCCCATTCTCCCCATTTTGTTCATCAAGGATTCTAGGGCCAGGCCTGATCTCCTATCACAACTTCACCTGCATAAAATAACTGACTAGCAATAACAGGAGAAAAAGCTTTCTAAATATGCATTACATATGCTTGTAGCTACAGAACCACTTCTGGTCTATCTTTGATTCTGGAAATACCAAAATGCATTAAATTCTTTCTAGTGAACATTTATAAAAAAATCATACCAGTTAAGTTCCTGAACTTCTTTTTGGCTTCTGCTCTTTCTTCGGCATCAAAATACCACACGGTCATGGCATATCTATAAAAAAAAAGAAATCTTGCATGTCTTTCCACTTTTAATATTAAAATACAGCACTGCACTTTTCTGCTCATAAGGAAAGCAAAAACAAAACTGGATTAGTAGACTAAAAAAGTAGAATGAAAATGACACATCTTTAGAGGCAAACACAGACAGCATTTTAGTGCATATTTTAACAAGTCAGATAAAAATATAGGTGAGAATTTCTGCTGGAGGCATAAAAGAGAGCACAGCCCCTGGTAACAGAGGGCAAAAGTAGCTTCCAGACCTTTGGATGTTTTTCTGTTCTGAGAGGCCTGTAGGCAGCTTGGGGGCTGCCCTGCGTCACATCAGCTTTTCACAGGCTGCTGACAGATGGTAGCCCCAACACTCCCTGTAGTGTTACAAGGGCAAAAGAATGACCCAGCACCTCCCAGCTAAATAGCTATGCCCAGCTTGGAAGATTTCTCCTGTCAATGGTTAAGGGCCTTTTTTTCCAACACATGAGGAAATGTATCATTTGAGCTTGCTCCTCCTTACTTAATGAGAGAATTCCCAATGACTCAAAACCAGGAAATTCACTCAACATCTGTCTATTTTTTATGCACATGTACTAAAACATGATCGCCATAATTTTGGATTAAAATACTGGTAGAAGAGATGCCCTGGGGTATTTCCTAGCCAGAAACCAATATTAAATATGCTACTTACCTGGTTGCATAAGAAGGCTGGACTTCATGTGGGTTCCTTCGATCTGACCAAAAAAAAAGTAATCGGTCAAAAATCGGCTCAACATCTGCTACGTAGGACTTTCCTTCTGGGAATATTCGAAGAATTCCACCATGCAGCTGAAAGAAAAGGAAAGATTGGTTTTTTGCACACATAAACAGCCACACAATCACATGAAAAATAACTTATTTCTCTCTCCTCCACACCTAACAAATGGGGAATAAACATCTAATGATAAATGTGACACCTACGTGACAACACTAGAAAACCTTACTGTGTGTCTTGGCCACTTTGTTTTACCAGTTTGTAATGTTTCAGCTTAACCTTCTGCCTAAAGCAAATGAACCAAGATAAAGGTAACACCAGCCCTGTAGCAAACACTGGGAAACTTCTGAGCTTCCAGTCACATTTCTAGAACCAGTGAATACCACAGAGCTGCTCTACCTGAGATCAAGCTCTCTGCTCAACAATTGTTAGATACTGCTCACAGTATTTCAGATGGCGTGCCTGATCACTTAGGAGTTAAATTCTACACCTCAGGAAGAGTGAAGTCTGTTTTATTGTTAGATTTGTAAAACTTCTCAAATGCATTATAGATCCCAGCCACCATTTTCCCTACTCATAACACAGCCTGGTTTCTCTACCATACAATTTCTGTCTTTCCACGTGCCACGATTTTCAGGAAAAAGGTCTGGTGATCTGCACACACTCCAGAAACTTCAAAAGATGAAGATGAACCCTGCCTCGTCCTGCTGCTGTTAGAGTGCTCTTTGGAGACTTTAATGCTGCATCACCGGGTGCAGTGCAGCACCAGCCTGACGTGGTACCTCCATGTCACATGCAGACCTCAGTGAGAAACTACTAAGCCAGGTTTAAAGCCACATGGCTGTTTCCAAAGCCCAGTACTACTATACTCTTATATAGCATGTCCTCCAGCATACACTTACATAAAATCACCATCACATCTACCTAAAAGACTCCATCAGTGTCCTGCATTTCAGTTAGCTTTTCTTGGTGCTCACTTGGGTGCCTCCCCACTATTTGGATAAGGGTGCAATGCACAAAATAAACTGGATATTTGCATTTCCTCCCACATCTCCTCCTTCATTTTATTACAGTGAGATGTTTCACTGTCATACTCTCTGTAACAAGATGTGCTTTTCTGCAACACTGCATTTTTCAATCACATTGTCTCTGTGTCTGAACTCACTTATTAGGGTTCATAGTATTTACCTGTTCTTAAAGAGCATATTGGCCTAAAAAGAGGTTAGAGAAGCAAACAACATTGGACAATTTTCAAGCTATAACCCTCACGAACAGTTTGTGGTGCATTACAACAGACAACAGACTTGCAAAGAGACATCCTGAAATTTTACAAACTCTTCTTTTGTTTCTAATTTAAAGGTATGGCACATTCAGGGGTGACTTAACTGCCTTACAGTAATATAGGCAGGAACAAGAGTTCTATCCAGTCAAGAGACCCACTGGTGGAATCAAACCATGTTTGTTCCTCTTCCTAAGCCCCACTGCTTCATAAATAAGAAAAGGGAACTGCCTGAATATCTTCTGCAGGTTAGCCTGAAGTATCAAGAATGATAAAGTCACAAATTTGGGCTGTCATTTTACTCTGCTCCCACAATCCACTTATTCTGTAGTGAATTGATTTTCTTTTTCTGCTGTTTCCTCTAAACAAAGTGTTAAGAGCATACAGGCCAGTGCTTATAGCTTTATCCTATAACAACAAAACAGTATGTGTGTAGAATGAGAGAGAGGATGATAAGGAAACAGTTCACATTCTTACTTCCAAAGCATTGCCAAAAACAGACAGAAAAAAAAAAAAAAAGAAGAGATGAAGAATGGACCAGCAGCTCAGAAGTTCATCAGAGTTCACAGAAACAACGGACAGCTCCAAAGCTCTGTTTCTCAAGTAGTTTTTCCTTCCTGTTGTGCCTCAACCCCATGGCTTACTCACCTTGGAGTCCCAGTTCTTATTCAGGTAATAAATACAGGTAATGCAGCGCCCATCACCATTTGGATTGTCCACATGACGAACGTACCCAGTTCCATTTCCAGGATAGCAAGCAACCATAGCCTGAAATATACAGATTGTAAAATAATTAATTCTACAAGATGTCCACCTTCAGTTTTAATTTGCTAAGCATCCTCCCACCACCAGTTTGGTTCACTATTTCTCAGATGATCAATCCAAAACCTAGAGCAGACATCACCTGAAGGTATTTTTGCACAAATGTTTTTCACAGGACAGCTCAGCCAGTGTGAAATTCAAAACTGGAAAATAAATACCCTTATAATTCACAATATATACACTAAAATAAAAGGGGAAAAAGTGAAACTAGAGCACTAGTATGCATGGTACAAGCTTGTTATAAGCTACGTGACTTTGAGGCAGTTTCAGCTGAAATTTGCTTGGGTTTCTACAGATAAGCAGTCATTGCAAAACAGATTCTCCAGTCATAATGAAAGTAGAAAGCAATCCCAGGATGTCATGCTTTACTACCACCATTCTCCTCTATTCATATCTTCCAGTCATTGTCATATACACCCCTGTATGCAACTCAAAGTGAGTGGTCCCCAGGAGGTGTTGGTAAAACTCCATAGAGTAAAGTGTGCAAAAAGCTGCAACTCCTTTGTGCTGTGTTTGTACAGGGCAGTGCATGTTTGTTTTCATGGACTGAGCCACAGAACTAACCAAATAGCTTTCAGAGCATTTCTCTCTTTGATCATCTTCAGACTTGCTGATACAATCACTTAATTCATGGTTTAAACTTCGTCTTGAATGATGAGATAAGCCTGACACAAATTACTCCAAACCACACAGCAATCAACAGGTCTTAAAAGGTTTTTACAGTAAAAACATATTAAACTTAGTTGACTTAATTAGCAGCCTAAGCAGAATGCAGGCAAGAGCAGGTGAGACTGCTGGTAGGGTACTAGATCTTTCACTCAGTGTCTCAGTCACTCATCATTATTGGGGCTACTTGGCAGTGATACTGATCACCCCTAAAGCTGTTGCAATAGAAGTCTTGTTCCTGACATCTCCCCATTGCTTGCCAGTAATTAGCAGCAAGAGTGATGGGAAATGATGGGAAATAAGTTCAGCTGGAAAACTGCAGATAGTGTTCAGATGTGGTTTCTGCAATTATCACTCCTCAATCTGTGTGCTGTACTCCCATAAACAAGTTGTGCATGAAGCACACCACAGGCTCAAGTTCAGCTCACTGTCCACCAGGATGAGCTGAGGGTTCCCAGGTTCCCCTGAGGAGCAGATCTGCTGGCAGCCCCCAGCCTGTACTTCTGCAAGGGGCTCTTCCTTCCCAGGGCAGGAGTCAGATTTGCCCACGTTTAATTTCATAAGGCTCCTGTTGGCCTGTTTCCCCAGCCTATCTGGTTTCCTTTTAGTGGCAGCCTTGCCCCCAAGGGCATCAACTGGTCCCTCTCAGTTTGGTGTCTTCTGCACAGCTGAAGAGTGCACTCTGCCATCTGTTCCAGGTTACTGATAAATAAAGGTGTTTAACACAACAGGTCCCATGACAGATCCCTGTGGTGCTCCATGGATGAGCATGGGGTGTCATGTCATCCCATTTGGTAGCAGCCTCCAGGTATTGGAAGTCTGATGGACCATGACCCTCCAAGTCCAACCATCCAATCAGTTTTTTACCCACCTACTTTTCCATCCTTTCAGACAATAAAACCCTAACTTCACATATAAGAGTATTTACATGCCACAGAATGAGGATATGATTGTGCATCATTTGCATGACCTGCTCCAATGATCTGATATGCAAAATTTATAATGTAATTGATAGTTGGAGATTGACAGTATAAGGCTTTACTGAGAAATGTTTATCTAGGAACCCCAGAACTCCTGTTTTCTTGTTCCAAGCACATGTGAAAGGCATGCTGTTCTCATGGGACATGACCAGGTACAGTACAGCACATGCTGGTTTAATCAACAAGGAAATTTTACGGTGCCAACAAACGCCAGCACAGAAGCTACTGCCAGCCAGCACAGAGGATCCCTCAAACCCTCTGCTACCAAGAACAAAACCTATCCACAGGAGTCAGCCATGTATGAATTAACTTTCCTCCCCACAACAAGCACCAGAACAGTACCTGCAGGCAGCAGTAAGTCACCAGGGCCTGCTCTCCACGCCTCAGGCCAACGGTGCCTAGAGACTAGTGGCCTGCAGGGTCAGGACATTATGCTAAACAAAAGCAAATACTTTTAATTCCAAGTAATAAGCCCTCTTCCATACACCTAGCAGTCAGGTAGATGCCTTGCTGTAGATCCTGTCTGCTCTGTTGTCATTCCGCTGTTACAAATGGCTCCAGAGCTGCACTACATTTCACTATCAGCCTGATAACGGCAGTAAGGGCCAGTCTACAGCATAGTGCTCGAAACATGTTAAGGGCATAAGTCTGGTGGAAACCACAAGTCAGCTGTATCTGCAATGTAATAATGGTCTGAGGAAGCTGGGCCCTCACTGGTGAGGATAACCCAGTTTGTGCACTCCCCATCCCAGTTATTAGCACAGCACCTCATGCAGGGGCACCTTCACCCATCCCACGTGCAGTGAGCTGCATCAGGTCTAACAATTAAAATTAGCAACCTTTTGTAAAACAGGATCTTCATACACTGGGAAACATGACCCTGGTGCCCCTGAAGCCACTCCATCACTCCACTCCTCAACTGAGCAGGGAAAGAAAGTGTAATGAAAGGCTCATGGGTTCATAAGGATAGGAAGAGATCACCCACCAGTGACTGTCACAGGCTGGGGAAACTAATTAAATTTATTACCAATCAAATCAGAGTAAGATAGTGAGAAATAAAACCAAACCTTAAGACACCTTCCCCCTACCCCTCCCTTCCTCCCAAGCTCAACTTCACTCCCAAGTTCTCTACTTGGCCAGCAGTGGGTCCACGTTGTAGCCAGCTGACATTGGCTCTGTCAGACACAGAAGCTTCTGCCACCTTCTCACAAAAAAACCCTGATGGCCTCTCAGCTACCAAAACTTTGCACACCCAACCCACCCTGAGGGCTAAGGGGAGGGGGCAGGGAGGAGGGCAGTGCTGGAGCAGGGCACAGGCACCTGCAGGGCCAGCTCAGCACAGCTCAGCACAGCCCTGCTCGCCACGCCAGGGGATGATGCAGGACAGGAACACAACCTCACTGACCAACAGTACCTTGTCTTAAGTCAGTGTACAACACAAAATTATGGTGGCCTTAAGTCTCTCTTTGGAGAATAGACATTACTCCAAGATTACTGAACTGCCTAAAAATCAATCCAATATTACTACTGTTTTTAACGCCACAAAAAACAAAAAGCTACTGAACTGCAGACCCTGAAAGGGATTTAGGTGCTTTATTTACTATGGAAATCTAGGCAAAAGGCCAGAGTTTCCCCTGGCCTCCCCCACATAATATGTTCTCTTAGAACATGTGCTTTGTCTCCAGCATTGATGCATAATTTATTTATTTACAGTGTGCACCTTTTGCAACTGCCACACTCCATCCCTGGAGATTAAGTGGAACAATTCCCACAGAATCCTAAAGTATCGGCCACACTATAGCTTAACTTTCAGAAAAGCAAAGAGAAAAAAGTTTCTAGTAGCAGTAGCAAAAGAAGAAAAGCAGAAGTGAAATATCCTTTTTCCTGGCACAGCGAATATTTGAATGAAACCTTAAACAATGAAGGGAAATCATTCTGGTCCTCCTAGAGACTGTTGAAATGATATGAAGCTTTATCAGAGCAATGGCTGGAGCAGCTCCAGAGCAGATCAAGCTGGCCTCAGCAGGGATTCCAGCTGTAAGCAGTACTTTTGGATTCATTTAAAGCAAACAAGAAACAGGAGATGAGATGCGTGACCCAGACTTAATTTAGGTAATTTGTGAACACTGGTATCTGCCAGATTAGTGCACAGTCCAGCTACAAAAGCCAGAGACTCAATAACAATAATCAAACCATTTACTAGGTGTGCACGTGGAGTGTTAGTTAAGAATATTTCCTACACTTTTGGCTATTGTGTCAGAATAGCACACTCCATTTTTGGAAGCAACTCCTCTCTTCATTAACAATCTTCAAACCTAAACTAATCAAACTTAGTGATGATCAGGAATGTACCTAACATTTCTTCTTTTCCAATACAATCTATTACAATGGCTGTTGTAACTTCCCAGTGTAAGCACTCAGAAAATTTCTGCAACACTCCCCTTTTTTAAGTTAAAAAAGAAGAGTTTGTCTTACAGTACAGCTGAATAGTTAAAAACTGATACCCAGATGCATGCCTTTGGAGTCACACTTACACTCCACCACATGAAGACCAATGCTCTGGTAGTCTAGTCAACAGTCATAAATTAAACCTACAAAACTTGGAAAATAAAAAGCGAATCATCAGGACTAAAGCTTCTGCCCTGTCATTTTCAGGGATGTTAGCTTTCCCAAGAGGGTGCAAATCAACCACAAGTTAAACAAGCAGCAATTACCAGCTTTAGGAAGGACCCAGGAATTGTCAGTAAATTCCACACTGCACAGAAGCTTGCAAAAATAAGTTATCTATGATTCAATCTAAGTATTACATTCAAGTCCGCCAGAGAAATCTGCAAGTCAAACTGCAAGACACTAGTAAAGTTTGAAGTCAGATAAAAAACAACTGTTCCATTGAGAGGGTTTTTCCCTGCCTCCCAGTGCTTCTAGCAAGCAGAAAAACAAATTCTCTTAGCTGATGGCCAGGATCATGCTGTGAGACATGATTTACAAAATAAGCAATGCTAGAGCAGCCTGATATGTGGAACAGAACATTTCAGAAAATATCTTGGATAGAAGATGTTTGTAGGTGGAAATTAACAGTGCTGAATAGGAAGCAGTGGAGACACCAGGTCAGAAGGTCACAATTTTCAGCCCAATATGTGGTTCTCAGGTCTGAACCTGAGGGCAAACAAAAATCACTTTTGACCAGTCCTCTAGCGTATTAGGACTACCAGGATTCACTTGATTGTCTTAGTTTTGAATGTATATTGTGCTCAACCTGATTCTAGTTCATAGATGTGCAGAGTCTTTACATCCAGAAAG